TGTTGATGGAGTTCAGGACACATTGCCCTAAAACATGGCTTCGTGGCATATTGACTATCCTAAGCTAAAGTTGTTTGAGAAACAGCAAAAGCAGGAGGATCACTCTGACTTCCCCCCATCACCCTTCTTCCCTGAAATAGGTCATAAAACTCCCATGTGAAAGGTACCCTCCTTGTACCAGGAAGAAGGAAGGTATTTTATCACCAGGTCTTTATCTGGTACTGATTTCTGGGTAATTCTGGTGTTCTTCCCACCGCCCCCACCCCCCCCACCCCCACCGCCCCCACCCCCCCCCACCCCCACCGCCCCAAGCTTTATTTCTCTCTGACTTCAGTTTGGATAGTTTCTATTGCTATGCATTCAATTTTGCTGATCTTTTCTTCCATATCTACTATTAAGTTCATCCAGATATATATTTTTTTAATTTTTAAAACATTTTTTAATGTTTATTTACTTTTGAGAGAAAGAGAGAGAAAGCGTGAGCAGGAGAGGGGCAGAGAGAGGGGAGACACAGAATCCGAAGCAGCTCCAGCCTCTGAGCTGTCCATACAGAGCCTGATGTAGGGCTCAAACCCACAAGCTGTGAGATCATGACCTGAGCTGAAGTCAGACGCTTAACCAACTGAGCCACTGCATTCAGATATTTTTCTGGTCAAATATTTAAAGTTTTAGCTCTAGTACTTCTTTTTTTTTTTTTTTTTTTACAAATAGTTTATTGTCAAATTAGTTTCCACATAACACCCAGTGCTCATCCCCACAAGTGCCCTCCTCCATGCCCATCCCTCCTCCCCCCCACATCCATCAGTCCTCAGTTTTTGTCAGCATTCAAGAGTCTCTCATGGTTTGCCTCTCTCCCTTTCCCCCACGATTTCCCCCCTTCTTCTCCCGGTTGGTCCTCTGTTAAGTTCCTCCTAATCCTCCTATATGTCTATAAGGAACTTAGCTCTAGTACTTCGATTTTATTTGCTTTTTATATTTTATTTTTTCTTCTGTCAATATTCACGTTTTCTTTAAAATCTTGGATCATATCTATAAAAATTTTTTTGCGGTTACTTTTCTGGTATTTCCATTATCACCATCACTTCTAGGTCTGTATCAAGTGTCTGATTCTTCTCCTGGTTATTGGTCACATTTTCCTGCTTCTTCCCTCATCTAGCAATTTTTATCAGATACTAAACATGTTGTTGGGTGTCTAGACTTTGTTCTTTTTTTTAGAGTGCTTAGTTTTTCTCTGGCAGAAAGTGAATTTATTTTCAGAGCAGCTTAACCATTTGTTTTAAAAACCATGGTTTTTAAGCTTTGTTAGGGTCTCCCTGGAGAAGCCTTTATTTTAGGGCTAGTTTAATCTCTTCTAGTGTCTGTACTGAATGCCCCGGGTGTTAAGTTCTTTCTAGTGTTAAGAATTCAAGTATTTATCTATTGCTGGACCTCTAGGTTATTTACTTAATTGCTATTATAAATAATGGTGTGACAAATATCTCTCACTCAAACAAGTGCTTGGATATAATTTTAAAATTAAAAGGTAGACTACTTAAATGTTGATCAATAGGGAAGTGGTTATAAACGACTGCTAAATTCATTTATTAAGTATAGAGGAATGTGCTAAGCGTTCAGTTATGTCCCCCAAAAAGATAGGTTAAAGTCCTAATCTCTAGTACTTCAGAATGTGACTTTTTTTGGAAATCAAGTTGTTGCTAATATAATTAGTTAAGATTAAGTCATTAAGGTGGACCTTAATCCATTATGACTGATGTTCTCTTATGAAAAAGGGGAGATTTGGACACAGAAACATATACACACAGAAAACAATGTGAAGACATGTGGACAAGATGGCCATCTGACAGGAGTGATGCATGTAAAGCCAAGGAATGCCAAGGATTGGTAGCACACACAGAAGCTAGAAGAAGCAAGGAAGAATTCTTCTCTAGAGCTGTTCCAGAGAGTATGGCCCTAAAGACACCTTGATTTTAGACTTCAAGACTCGAGAACTGAGAGACAAACATTCCTGTTGTTTTAAGTCACCTACATGTGGTACTTTGTTATGGTAGTACTAGGAAAGTCATACACCATACAATAAAGATTATGTGATTATTAAAAATCATGTTGTCAAAAACTTTCTAAAATATGAAAATATGCTCATTATAATGTGTGAAATAGGTACTATTATTATTCCCATTTAACAAATGTGGAAACTGAGGCCCCAGGCTTATTGATTTGTTCAAGATGTCATACATAGTAAGTGCTGGAACATGATCTGAATCCAGGTAGGTTCCTGTGTGCTCTTAACCATTATGTTATAGTGTCTCTTAATTATTAACAGCTGTAAGCAGCATTAGAACTTTTAATGCAAACTGAGAAGTCAATCCCACTTAAATATAAACAGATTAAGTCAGGGAAGCAAGAATATAGAAACCTGAACTACATGAATTGGAGATAAAATATTCTAACATTCCCCAATTACAGTGCATTTTATTTATTTTCATTTTTTAAAAGTAATCTCTACATTCAACAGGGAGCTCAAACTCACAACCCCAATATCAAGAGTCACATGCCCTACTGACTGAGCTAGCCAAGCACCCCTACAGTGCATTTTAGAATAAATTTTTCAGGGTGGTCTTCCACAGAGTAAACTTAAAAGAACCCCAATACCTAAAAGTAGTAACAAAAATAGGTACTTATATGACAGGCTGTTAAGAAACTAGGGAGTTCTCAGAACCTGTAAGGACAATAAAAGGAAATTTTTGTATCAGAGGCAGTTTATTTTTTTTTTAATTTTTAATGTTTTATTTATTTCTGAGAGAGAGAGAGAGCGTGCGTGAGCGAGCGAGCAGGGGAGGGTCAGAGAGAGAAGGAAACACGGAATCTGAAGCAGGCTCCAGGCTCCGAGCTAGCTGTCAGCACAGAGCCCGACACAGGGCTCGAACCCATGAACTGTGAGATCATGGCCTAAGCCAAAGTTGGACACTTAACTGACTGAGCCACCCAGGCGCCCCTCAGAGGCAGTTTAATATAGCTATTGAGACAGCCTCTATTTTTTAAATTTATTTTGAGGGAGAGAGAGGGAGACAGCGTGAGGGGGCAAAGAGAAAGGGAGAGAGACAAAATCCCAAGCAGGCTCCTCATCATCAGCACAGAGCCTGAGGTGGGGCTCAAACTCACAAATCATGAGATCATGACCTGAGGGGAAACCAAGAGTAGGAGGCTTAACTGACCAAGACACCAGGCTCCCCAGAGGAAGTCTATGAATGAACTGGAGAATATAGTAGGAAAAGCTCCCAGGTAGCTGAGCAGGGTACAAGGCAGTTTTCTCTGTCACATCCTATTCCCAAACTCTCATCCTTTGTGTATCTCACATAAAAGAGCATTTACTGAATTGCCTTTCTGTGTTATGCACTGAGTTTTCACCAAAGAATAAGAAAGTATCTAATAATATGTTACTGCTATTTATTACATGACTATTGTTTTTTTTTTTTTAATGTTTTATTTCTGAGAGAGAGAGAGAGAGAGACAATGTGAGCAGGGGAGGGTCAGAGAAAGAGACGGAGACACAGAATCTGAAACAGGCTCCAGGCTCTAAGCTGTCAGCACAGCCCGACATGGGGCTTGAACCCATGAACCGTGAGATCATGACCTGAGCCGAAGCTGGATGCTTAACCGACTGAGCCACCCAGGCACCCCCTACAGGACTATTGTTAAAAACAGCTCTCACATTTCCTATATGAGTTCATTTATAATATCATCCCTATTGAGGTTCTAGAAAAAAATTTTAATTTGTCGTTAATTGCCGAGAAAAGTTTTACTTCCCTGTGAGGATATGGAATTGTATTTCCTCCTTATATGTAAAGAGAACTAGGTAGCTGATTATTTGCAGCCCAGTCACAAAAAGAACATGAATCACTATGTATGCTCTATATATCTATATTCTACTATATTCCTTATAACCTTTAATTTCATTTCAAATTATGTTTCCTTTGTCCTCATTTCTAATTTCAAATATTAAAAAAAATGTTTTTAATCTTTATTTACTTTTGAGAGGGAGAGAGACAGAGTATATGTGGGGAAGGAGCAGAAAGACAGGGAGACACAGATCTGAAGCAGGCTCCAGGCTCCAAGCTGTTAGCACAGAGCCTGACGTAGGGCTCGAATCTGCGAACAGATCATGGGCCTGAGCCAAAGTCAGACACTCAACCGACTGAGTCACGCAGGCACCCTAATTTCAAATATTTTAATTTATACTCTATTAAGATGTTTCTACTATTGAAGTGTTTTTTCTGCAAGTTTCAAATCATTTATGGAATGAGTTTTTATTAATAACCAACCAAGAGTTGTAACATAGCCCTCAAAAGAAAAATATGGAATCTGATTTAAATTCTTGATTTTCCAGAGACCATGAGTGCAGACAGCTATGTCTTAATGAAATTTTGTGTGGATGAGGATTGGGTACCGTAATAATCATCACTGGATCACCTTAAAACTTTTGCTTAGCAAATGAACTCATTATAGGCTCCTTTTTTTTTTTTTTAAAGGCCCAATACGGGGCTTGAACTCACAGCCTGAGATCATGACCTGAGCTGAGGTCACAAGTCAGATGCTTAACTAACTGAGCCACCCAAGCACCCCATGTAGATCCTAATTTTTATATTCCATGACGTCAGAACAGTGTCTCATTCATCACTGTCTTTCAGTATCTAGTATTACTGAGCTAATTCTGAAAGAATAAATTTATTTTATAACCTAAGATTCTCTCTTTTCTTTTTTTAAAAGAAGTTCAAGGTGGGGCTTGAACTCATGATTCTGAGATCAAAAGTTGCATGCTCTACCAACTGAGCCAGCCAGGTTGTATGCTCTACCAACTGAACCCATAAAGGTTCTCATATTGTATCTTTTAAAATCTGTGTCCTTAAAAAAAAGTCATTCCATATACCATTTTAGAAATGGCTTTCCTGTGTAAGGAGAATTTCACTTGAAAAAGAAAAACATAATTCTCTTTTGGTACGTACGATTCTTGCTGCAGACATGTTGCATGGCCCAAACTGCCCATAGCTGGACTCCTGGTGTTGTGAAACAGCCAAGTAATGGGAAAAATGGATTAAAGGACCTAAAGTTTCAAAGAAAAGAATAAAAGTTACATCCTATACTTAGTGTCATTTCTAAAGCAGTAGTTCCTAAGCTTTTCATACTAGAAATTTCATCCAACTATTTTTTAAAATTTTTTTTTAAATGTTTTATTTATTTCTGAGAGAGAGAGAGGCAGACAGCATGAGAAGGGGAGGGTCAAAGAGAGGGGGAGACACAGAACCTGAAACAGGCTCCAGATTCTGAGCTAGCTGTCAGCACAGAGCCCGATGCGGGGCTCGAACCCACAAACCATTGAGATCATGACCAAAGCCGAAGTTGGACGCCTAACCGACTGAGCCACCCAGGTGCCCCATCATCCAACTATTTTCAATCTAATATAAGTGACCTATAGAATCTTTTCTTTGTCTTTGGCACTTGAGAAAGGATCACGTTCATACAAAGTTTTGGTACAAACGACGGAAGATGATCAGAACAAGGTACTGACAGAAATATCTTTTTTGTAAATACTCTTTCAGTATTGAAGATAAACATTCAAAGAATAGATCTTGTTTTAGAAACTTAGAAAAGGAGGAGTTTGATTGGTAACAAACATAAACAAACTGTTTATGACAGTTAGGTGACTTCATAGCTAAGTTACTAATTACCTGAAATATTCCATATTGCCATTTAAATAACATTAATGCATCTTATTTTTGTTCTCTACTTCATAAATGCTGATAGTGCCAACATTTTTGATTCCCCCAACTTATGTTCTCCTCGTTTTGGGGCAGAAGGCAGAAGACTGGTAGAAATTGAAAGGCTAATGTACACTTGTTACCAATTGTTACTGGGTCATCTTGTCCTGGATCTCTGCATTAAGACATTATTTCTTCTCCCTAAAATCTCCTGCACCTACTTATTTATCTCTCAAAACTCAGCCCATAATCTACTTCCTCTGGAAGCTTTTTACCATTTTCCAGTGCATTTAAGTACTGGCATCTTTAATTTCATAGCATTCTATGGATATAACTAGCTTAATAGTGAATTATATCTGATTCACATGTGGTGTCCCTCACGAGGCTATAATTTCTTGTGCGTAGGCAACATGTCTTACTCATCTTTGAATTTCAAGAGCACAGAACAAGTCCTTGGCACTTGTCTTCAATAAATGTGGAAAGAAGGAAGATGATGAATGACAGGTAGCAGAAAAAAGTGAATACACTTCGATCCTTTTAAAGCCAGTAAGAAGATAGATGCCTGAAGGAAAATGCATTACACATCTAGTAGGAATAATCTCCAAGCAAGCAAACAAGCAAAATTTAGGTTACTGGCTTAATATTAATTATCTTGCTAATTACCTGTATGCTACCATCTCACACTCTGGAGTTGGCCACTTCAAAATAGCTGAATGCTGCCAAGACATAAGACACACAAGAAAGAATACAGTATTTATTTAGCACTGCAATATTGCATTATAAAACTCTGATAGCTTAACTATGATGAATGTTGTCTGTATGCTTCTAGAAAATACCAAATGACCCTACCAGATCATCCAGAAGAGAATTCCTCTGGCTACGGCTCAATGTCCAAGCTTGTTCACCTCTAGATATTAAATGGGCAATAATTCCAGCTGCAAAGTAACTGACTTCCACTTCAACACTATGCAGGAGGCTACTGATGTGGTCTATAAAATCCTTCCACATTAATTCAGAATGCAATTCTTGTACTTCAGCTATATTATTCTGGAAAAAAAAGAGACATAAAAATTGAAGTAATATGCATAATAAATGGCTAAATAACCCTTTGCATTCTAAGAAGGAATAGAGATTGCAATAATTTAAATACGTATCTGCAGGGGCACCTGGGCTGCTCAGCTGATTAAGTGTTTGACTTTGGCTCAGGTCATGATCTCACAGTTTGTGAGTTTGAGCCCCTCATCTGTCAGTGCAGTGCCTGCTCCAGATCATCTGTCTTCCTTGCTCTCTGCCCTTCCACTTGCATGCACACACTAACTCAAAAATAAATAAACTTAAAAAAATAATAAATATGTATCTGCATATACATAAAAGGTGCACACTTTTGTTATGTTAGCACAGTGGGTTTATGGGTGACTTATTTTCTTCCCTCCCAAAACAATAAAATAATACAGAAAAAGTACTGAGTTCTTTTTTCAGGCAAAATGGTGAGCTAGATAACCTAAAAAATCTCCTGCTATAAAATATCTAGAAGTGGTAGTTGAAAAATAGCTAACAACATTTGTTTGTTTGTTTAAAAATGTTTGTTTATTTGAGAGAGTGTGTGGCCACGAGGTGGGGGTGGGGGTAGGGGTGGGAGTGGAGAGAGAGGGAGCGAGAGAATCCAAAGCAGGCTCCATGCTGCCAGCACAGAGCTTGGATGCAGGGCTTGATCCGACGAACTAAGAGATCATGACCTGAGCCAAAATCAAGCATCAGACACTTAACCGACTGAGCCACCTATGTGCCCCAACAGCCTTTAAATATATAATTTGCTGGGATAAAAAGCAAATAGGAAACCAAACCAGAATAGTAACTGGCCATCATGGACCCATAGAGGCAAGTGCACTGGGTTTTAATACCCATGCAAGGGTAGAAAATAAGGGCTAAAAATTGGAACTAACACTTAACATATAAGACAAGGTCTTTCAAAGTATCACACCTCAGAAAAAGAGTAGACTGACTTAGATGAATGAAAAAGAGGTCTACCGTAATTTGGGATCTGGTCTAAAAGGAAAAGTCTTCCCTTGTCGTTTTTTTTTGTTTTGTTTTGTTTTGTTTTTTAAATTTTTTTTTATTTTATTTCTAGGAGAGAGAGAGAGACAGCGTGAGCAGGGGAGGGTCAGAGAGAGAGGGAGATACAGACTCTGAAACAGGCTCCAGGCTCTGAGCTGGCAGTCAGCACAGAGCCCGACGCGGGGCCCGAACCCACGAACCGCGAGATCATGACCCGAGCGAAAGTCGGACGCTTAACCGACTAAGCCACCCAGGGGCCCCTTCCCTTGTCGTTTTTAATAAGGGGCTGTCCTCACGCAAGATTATAGTTCAAATTTATACCATCTGTGTGATCTTGAGAAACTCCCAAGCTGAGAAGCAACAGTAAGAGAGGTTGAAGAAAAACCAGGAAAGTTTGGTTATCAAGAAAGCAGAGAGGGGTGAGTGTACCAAAAGATGAAGGGATTAGCAATTCTGAATAATGTGGAATGCATAAATAAAATGAGGGCAAAAAGCATCCTTTTGAGCAATATAGTGATTTATTATTTTTAAAATTATTTTTAATGTTTTATTTATTTATGAGAGAGAGAGAGAGAGAGACAGCATGAGCAGGGGAGGGTCAGAGAGAGAGAGGGAGACACAGAATCTGAAACAGGCTCCAGGTTCTGAGATAGCTGTCAGCACAGAGCCCGACGCAGGGCTTGAATCCAAGAACCATGAGATCATGACCTGAGCTGAAGTTGGACGCTTAACTGACTGAGCCACCCAGGCACCCCTAATATAGTGATTCTTTTAAAAAGATTTTTTAAGTAATCTCTACATTTAACATGGGGCTTAAACCTACAACCCTGAGATCAAGAGTCACATCCTTTACCAACTAAGCCAGCCACATGCCCCTCAATATAGTGATCTTGTGTCTTAAAACGTTCATAGCCTTAGACCTCCACTGAATGCCAAAGTTTGACTGCTGGCCTATATAAGGTAGATGTTTTATTTGGGCTTGGGGTGTGATGGCTTCCTTACACAGTACATAAGGAAGACCTCTGTTCACATGGGAAACAATTGAAGGTTTCCAATTTAGACTGTGGGTTCAAAAGATCTAAGATCCAACTTAACATACTACTCTGAAGATTAATCCTCATTCTTAAAACTTCATTTGATCTACTTTGAAATAATAATTTTCTTCCCAACATGTTGATTCCATTTCTTAGGAACCAAAACTCTGAACTTTTGAGAGTAGGGAGACTATTTGCTCTCTAGCTTAAGTCATTCTTTAATAAATGAAAGGCATCATTTGCCTGTAATGACTAACAAATATTCTTCTTCAACTATGAAAAAGAGGGCAGAAGAGACAAGTTTAACTATATACTACATGAATGTACATAATGTATTTTTCCACCAGCATCCATGATTAATCATCGCTTCTCTCTAATCTCACATATTCAAATACGAAAAGGCATTTCCATTCTTTATTTTTTAATGTTTATTTATTGAGAGTGAGTGTGTGAGCCCATGCGTGCATGTGTGGGGGTAGGGCAGAGAGAGAGAAAGAGAATCCAAAGCAGGTGCCATAATGCACATGGAATATTACAAAGATAGATCATATTCTGGGCCATATACAAGTCTCAATAAAATCCAAAGGACTCAAATCAAAGTATATTCTCTAAAGCTTTTCAGATACACTTTGCACTATTTCACTAGTTATAAGCATGTATTCTTTTTGAAATTAAAAAAACATTAACAAATTTTATATATAATATATATGTATAAATTATGTATATATGTATATATAATATATGTATGTATGCCTCCTATGACCTAATTTCTCAAGAGCAGAGATCTACTCTAAAAAGAGCTTTTTACCATACAGTCATGTTTCTCCTGCTGTAGTGATTAAAGTTTATGAAACATTTGATCCTTCACCTTTGCCTCAAAATCTTAGAGGGCTCACTTTTTTTTTTTTTTTAATTTTTTTTTTCCTTAATGTTTTATTTATTTCTAGGAGAGAGAGAGAGAGAGAGACAGCGTGAGCAGGGGAGGGTCAGAGAGAGAAGGAGTCACAGACTCCGAAACAGTCTCCAGGCTCTGAGCTGGCAGTCAGCACAGAGCCCGACGCGGGGCTTGAACCCACGAACCGCGAGATCATGACCTAAGCGAAAGTCGGACGCTTAACCGACTAAGCCACCCAGGCGCCCCTTAGAGGGCTCACTTTATTTTTTTTTAAATTTTTGTGTGTTTGTGATTTAAGCTCTTTTTTTTGTTTATTTTTGAGAGAGAGAGAGAGAGGTAAAAAGAGAGAATCCCATGGGGGCAGAGAGAGGGAGAGAAGGAAAGAGGGAGAGAGAAAGAGAGAGAGAGAGAGAGAGAGAGAGAGAGAGAGAGAATCCCATGCAGGCTCCACACTGTCAGGTTGGAGATTGAAATGGGGTTCAAGTACACCTGCTGCAGGTCCTGAGCTCACCCAATGCAGGGCTCGGAGCTCACTGGAAGCAAAGCTTGAGCTCACCAGAAGCAGGCTTGAATTCACCCTATGCAGGGCTGGAACCCACAAACTATGAGACCATGACCTAAGCTGAAATCAAGAGTTGGGACACTTAACTGACTGAGCTACCCATGTGGCTCTGGAATATCTAATTTGTTAAGTAGTCTTTTAGGTAGTAATTATTAATTACCAAACATAGTATGTAAGAATACTTACAGTTTAGTGACATTTTTTAATGAGATTTTATTTCCTGATTATAAAAGTAAAATTGCTCACTATGAGGCTTTGTATTATTCCAAAAAATATATAGAAAAGTATGTAATTTATATTTTTCCTTTTAATGTGGTGAAAATCTTAATATGAATACATTGTTTTATAGCCTGCTTTTTTCACTTTATTATATTGTATATATTTTCTAATGTCATTAAGCGTTTACAAATAGAGAAACAACTTTCAATGTATTACCTCAGAAGGAAAATGATTAATTACAGCTCAGAATTTATTAGGAAATGTTTATATCTTACCAAAAGTCCTAGAACTTTCTGTTGAATGGATGACTCAGTTGGGAAAGACTGTAAAAAGAAAGAGAAACCTGTAACTACCTAAAGAACCAAATATAATAAATGAATATTTTAATCAATCAATGTCAAAACTATAGGCTAAATTCCCATTCTAACCTCTAGAACCCGCATGAAGAGTTCTAACCCTTGGTTTTCAATAAAATGTCTGCAAGTGGTTGGAGATTCATCTGTGAGGTTCCAAAGTGCACTCAAAGTAAACTTCAAAGTAGTGTCCACTGAATTTTGATTGGTTTTCTGCTTCACTATTTGAAGAAGTTGCTGAAAGAAGGAAAATACAATGAATTTCTTTTTTTTTAAATATTTTTTATTTATTTCTAGGAGAGAGGGAGACAGCGTGAGCAGGGGAGGGTCAGAGAGAGGGAGACAGAGACTCTGAAACAGGCTCCCGGCTCTGAGCTGTCAGCACAGAGCCCGATGCGGGGCTCGAACCCACGAACCATGAAATCATGACCTGAGCTGAAGTCAGACGCTTAACCGACTAAGCCACCCAGGCGCCCCAATACAATGAATTTCTTATCACTAAGCTGTTACCACAATTAGTGGTAATAATCACAAGTCATGAGAATTGGTCTCATGGCTTAAAACATTTCCTAGGAAAGTTTTTATAAGTTCAACAAACAGCTTCTTGGATCAGATTTTTACTTCAACGTGAAAAAAAATATAGGATCTTCAGAAATACTTTATTATTGGGGCGCCTGGGTGGCTTAGTCGGTTAAGCGTCCGACATTCGCTTAGGTCATGATCTCGCGGTTCGTGGGTTCGAGCCCCGCGTTGGGCTCTCTGCTAACTGCCAGCTCAGAGCCTGGAGCCTGTTTCAGAGTCTGTGACTCCCTCTCTCTCTGACCCTCCCCTGCTCACGCTGTCTCTCTCTCTCTCTCCTAGAAATAAATAAAACATTAAAAAAAAAAAAAAAAGAAATACTTTATTGGTTTTATCATCCCTAAAATCTAACACTCTGTAAATAAAATCAAAAGCAAAATGTTAAAGCTTAGGACAAATTATCTTATCCAATCAGTCACAGCATATATTCATTTCAGATCCTAGGATAAAAAAAAGTGGAGGGAGAGAAGGAGAAATGAAAGTAACATTTA